CCCCAAAACCCCAAAACCCCAAAACCCCTTTAGTATGATTAATAAGCTAAAGAGAGAAAATTAATTTTTCCTTAATAAATATATGCTACTTATTATAATACTAAATTAGATAAATAATTTAATAGTCCTATATAGATCCATTTATTCGCGATTTCAAAGAGCAGCAACTGATGGAGTACGACGATGATTTTCATACTAACCGACCAAAACTTAAAAATTATAATGACGAATCAGATGTATACTTCGCCAAAGATCCTATTTTGAATGTAATGAATATCCATGAATTTGGCACTTAAGACATTACCTCGAGTGGTAAACTTAAAGTGAAAAACTTTAAATAAACCATTCCAGTGGAAGAATAAGACAAATAAATTCTCGAAAAAGCTTCATTAGAGACAGGAAAAGAACTTTTAACAGAAAATTTGGAAGGTATAAGCTAATTTGGATTTCGAATTAAGAGAACTAATCAAAATCATTAGGATTACTCAATTAAGATAAAAAAGTACATGATAAAATGATAAAAATAAGATGGCTACTATGAGATTGAAGACTTTTCTACACGAAATAAACTAGTATCTGATTAGATTTAAAACTTCCTAAATGAAAGAGATGTATAGGAAAACATTCTTGGTCATAAAACTACTAAATCTAGTTCTAAATTATTGAAGAAGGAATTATATAAAGAAAAAATTGAGAACTTCGGCTTGATTGAAGATAGCAAAAGCAATATAGATCAATAGAAATAATAAAATAAATTAGATTCTAAATAAAAAAGTAAAAAAGTAAATGAATAATGCTAGAGTTAAGATTAAGTCTAAAATAAAGATAGTTAGAGTATTCTCAATAGTAATTTAGGTTTATAAAAAAGTAAATTCAAAAAAGATAGAAGAAAATCTCACTCAGGGTCAAAATCTAAAAGCAGGCATGGATCATGTATAATAAATAAGGATTAAGATTAATTGAGTGATGAGGATGAAATGAGAAGAGTTAATAAACACGAACCTATAAATACTGGCTAGCCTGTCAAAATGGAAGTAGTATAATACTTTGGTGATGAGATAGATCGTCCTAAGTCACCCTAGAAAGATGAATAAGACATGACTCCTGCTGAACTCCATAATAAGCGATTTAAAAACATTTTGAAAAATTAGAAAAAACTTCGTATTAAGCTTGATTTTTAGCATAATTAAGTTCAAGGCAACTAAACTCCTCAAGGATCAAATAGATTTTTTGACTCAAATAGCAACTCATCAAAAAGTAATTTTGAAATAATCTAAGCCTAAGCTTATGATTCTAGTCTGAAGATAAAGTTATCCACTGGGAAATCTAGAAATAAAGATGCATCCTAGTTAAAACAATAATATCTTGAAAATGGAGCAAATACTGGATAGAATTAGTAAAATTAAGATTATTTTGATCCAAATTTTGAGACTTAAAGAGGAGGAAACAAAAAATAATAGTATTATTCTTAAACATAGCTATAAACAAATAATCTTGATCAAATTCCTAACTTTCAGGCCTCAAAATTTGCAAAGAAAAGGCGTCCAATTAATAATCAATAAAATACTTGTGAGGTGAGTATCAATACACCCAAAAGCAAATTTGAAAATGAAGTCCAGAGATAGCTGAATGGAATGAAAAAATATGTCATAGAAATGGAGGATGATTAGCTTAACTTTGAAAATCTTCAAGACTCACATAGAATAGTAGGAAAACTAGAATCGGCAGAGATTAGCTCTTCATAATTAAGGAATCTAAATAATAAGAAAGCATCTTTGACAATAAAAGCTGTAAAATAGTCAAGAAATAGCAATAACTAGCATGGATTTAGTTCTTTTGTTCAGTCTGAATTACCAACTTACAAGTCAGCAATAAAAAATTAATAAGCTTTCATTTCTCAGTAAATGCAAGAGATTTAACAATAAAAATAAGCTAGATTAAAACTTCAAACTTAGGAAATGAGCCGATATAATGCTATTGAAAATTAGAAAAGATTAAGAACACCTTAAGGTTATGTTGAAATAACAAGATTAGGATTATCTGATAATAATAGAAGATATTAGTTGTGATAAGATTTGTATAATTGATAAAGATTTGATTGAAATTAAACATTTCATAGAAAAATAAAATTTTAAAATTTGCAAAATATGAGTTGATTATATTATCTTTAACTTATTTATTTTATTTTGCTATGAAATCTTCATGGGGTTTTGGGGTTTTGGGG